CCAGCTAAATACGACGACAATCTTGCCAACGATAACGAATATCCATATTTTCCATGCGACTACAGTGCGAGGGGAGGATACATACTACATCGCCCCAAGTAGCCACCGCATCAGCATAATACTGTTATTAATATTAACAACCATCCCAAAACCCCCTTTATACTTCAACAAAATTTTATATATCAATAGCTCCTAAACTAGGAGTCCTAATTATTCAATCATCGAGCCAATAAGGGATAACAAAGATATATCCAATACCACTCTTCTCAAGAAACTACTTCCCCTCCCCTACTTCTGTGCCCCAGCCGGCGCATCATACCAGCTCTCCTCAGCCCCATACCATCTAAGTATAACCGATAGTGGTATGTCCATAACACCATCAACTTACTCACTATCGTCCCAGTCATCATTTTCTCCAGATTTCAACACGACCATGCCTAGCGGTATCTCCTCAATAGATCTAAAGCAACACTACCATTACCCCCCGACCAAGAGTGAGGAAGGACGCAGTCTTCACAACTGTTTTAACTAGTTGATCTCAAAATTGGAAGGGAATTTTTTCCTACATAACATTCATTATACCATTGTGTGTTCTTTTAACTTTTGCATTCTACTATCGATACTCGAAAATATGCACATGATCAACTACATATGTCGGTGATAATATAAAAACTTCGAGGAAACCCTAGGAAATTCTAGTTTGTTTCTGTACACTTCTACCCGAATTTATGATCAACCACCTATAATATAACTTCGGGAACTACTGAGCTTAGGTGAGGGGAGCGAACATATATTCCTACTCCAACACTGTATAGGAAACTCCTGAGCTCAGCTGAGGAAAGCGAATATATATTCCTACTCCAACACTGTACAGGAAACTCCTGAGCTCAGCTGAGGGAAGCGAATATATATTCCTACTCCAACACTGTATAGGAAACTCCTGAGCTTAGCTGAGGAAAGCGAACATATATTCCTACTCCAACACTGTATAGGGAACTCCTGAGCTCAGGTGAGGAAAGCGAATATATATTCCTACTCCAACACTGTATAGGAAACTCCTGAGCTTAGCTGAGGAAAGCGAACATATATTCCTACTCCACTGCCCAATACTATTGCTAGATGATAGTGTTACGAATATCGTACCCGTCCTCAAGTCGGCACTTGACACGCACTCTGTTAGTAGTAGGTCCGAGTACATCAACGACCTCTCCAGTCAGCCAATCGCCATTAGAACAGGCTTCAATCTAAAGGCGACAATAACTACCGCGCGCCACAAAATTACTCCCACCTTCGCCGTAGCATGGAACTTGTCCAGGACAGATTTATTTTGTTTTTGCCGCTCTCGGAATTGGTATTTCTCAAAGTCTAGTAGTTTCACACAATACCTAGTAGAAGCAATAGACGCTACATGAAGTAGATGCAACAACTACTCAGTCTTGATAGCCTGTGGTATCCTCGGTAGTACTATACTGTAGTAGCGGTCTTCAGTTAGGAGCTGACAACAACAACAACAACAAAGATGATGATAATACCATATCATCGTCTGCTGATCCATTGGTGATAGCGCAAAAATATAACAGGAAATAGGCAAGAGTTTGAGTACAGTTAACGACGTTTATAAGCATCCTAAACGGTAACAGGCGCGATGATCACCATGCTGTTACTAACAGACTATATATGTGTATCGCTTCGCTCATGTGAACGACATAACTGACCAGACTCCCCACATCTGCACGAACATGATTTCCCTCTCGAGCAAACAGAAAACGCTCGCTACCGGACTACCCTATAGTAAGTCTATACCTTTCAGAAATCTTTTTGGCGGATTAGGCTACCGATTAAGCGGATAAGGAGGTCACCTTCGCGGATAGGGACATCAATTTAGCGATGAGAGTCGAATAGGGAAATCAATTTCGCGAATAAAGACATCAATTTCATGATTAAGGAATGCAATTTCACAAACAAGGACATCGATTTCGGGTTAGAGTTCCATCTACACAGAAGATTCTTCGTGCTGTTAGAATTGAGTGATGATGTGTAAACGAATCCTTCACGCTGCGCAGAAACATCCTCCCCGAAATTATTTCTGAGAAGATGTATAGTCCAGGCGGAAGTCGGCCCTGAAGTTTGTCAGACAAACTTTGTCATCTGAAGCGTTTCTGTCTCGTGCTTATTCCCCTCATGAACCTCGAAGGAG